CATGGGTGTGGGGGCCCCGGGGTCGGCCTCCCGCGGGGGCTCCCGGTCCGCGCCCGCAGGCCGCTTCTGCGGTGGCTCGCTACCGCAGTACTGCCCGCACGGCCCCTCCGGGCTCTTGGAGTCGCTTTGCAAACACTGCATCCTCCGCCTGGACCTGTGACTTGCTTCCTGGCCCCACGGGCAGCGGCTTCCAGCCTCCCTGGAGCGGGCTGGTTGGCCCTTCCAGCTTTGCACTGGTTTGCTTCCGTGTGCAAGCCCGGTGCAGCGGCTTGGGGAAGCCTGGCACTCCACGTTTCTGCTTATCTTTTCCTCTTCCAGCTTTTTCATTCTCCTGAAGATTTATTCCCTGTAGATTTTGTTCCAAGACAGCTAGCTGTTCCTCTGTTGGGACTTTTCAACTGGAATCAGAAGAGAGGGGCTCTTAGGAAAAGTTGGTTTGCTGTAGAACGCGTTTTGGACTTTTAATTGATGTAGCCTAAGTTGAAGTACTGTTGTGCAGATGAGTTAAGGGCCTTTTTCGAATGATTCCTAAAATTCCCAATTGTCAGTTTGTGTTTGGAAGGTCATCGATGTGTAAACTCTGGGCAGTCATGTGTTTTGTAAAAATGAATCAAATAAATAGCTGTTAAGTAATTATTTCTTAAACATAGAATTACGTTGAGTTTTCAGAAATTACATAGAATGTATACAACTATTAACAGCAAACAAGAGTTATCTTACGACCCAGAGAGGTGCTTGGAAAGAACCCAGTGTATTCACTGGTCGGTCACAGGAAGACCAGCAGTTTGAAGTTTCAGGTTTTAGCATTCCTGCCCCACAACCATTTCTCTCCCTCCATTTTGGGAAAAGAAAAACAAAACAAAAAACCAAACCTAGTCAGAGGTCAGGTGTCCTTTTAAACACCAGGACTGTTTAGGGTCAGGGTTCTCCACTTAGTGGCTTGCTTCTTAATGAACTCCAAAGCTCTTTAAGATCTTGGTGTCTGGACCCCCATTCGTATTGGAATCTGCACGTAGAACCCGGATATCAAGTGTAATTTAGAGCTCTCAGGTGAGAGGAGGTACAGCGAGGGCGATTATCTTTTACCCAGGAGAAGCTTAACTATTGGCTAAGCCTTGAGCCGAAGAGTATAATCTTGCATTTTTCAGTTAGTGGTTTTCTTTTGATAATCTCCACCTTTTGGGTTTTCTTTTCCCTCCCACTATCCTTTAATTTCAGGCAAGGAAAAAAAGTTTTGTTTTTTCCATTTTCTTAAAAAGCAAAAGGGGAATTTAATGAGGACTAATTGAATCCAAGACTTTTCTCTGGTTTGTTTTTTCGAGAGATAGTCCACAGACCAGATAAGGGGAAATTTTTATCAAATTGTACATTTTCCTAGGAGCTTTCTAGTATTTAAGATGTTGCAGATGACCAAAGGATTATGACCTTCCCAAATAATCAAAATTTGTAATGTACTACCCAGGCTCTTTAAAAAAAAATTACTCTTGTTTTGATACTGTTTTTGGAACAGTTTTCTTTCCTAGTCTAGGCTGGCCTTGAGAACTCACTAAGTTGCAGAGACTGGCCTTGAACTCCTGATCTTCCTGCTTCCACCTTCCAGGTTCAAGATTTACAGGCATTTGTCACCCAACGGGGAACAGTCATTATTTTTGTGTCTCTTTTTGGTGTTTGAGAACGTTTGAGCAAATTTTGAAAATGCAGTTGACTTAAATAATGAGTCAAATGAGATTCTTTTCCAGTAGTGAAATGTTCCCTATTGTATAACCAGTTTAATAAAGCATTTTTAAGTTGGTATAGCTTTAGTCAAAATTGCCACTGATTTATTCCCAGCATTGTAAAAAAGTCACAAATTCTAAATTAATTGCATGTGGTTAATGAGATTATCACTTATATTCATCAAGAATAGTGAAGGTTTCAGTTTTCTTAACTGTGCCAGGGTAATTTGTAGCTAGAGTTTTCCGCCTTGCCCACAGTCAGGACAAATCTCTGTCACCCGGCAGTCCCACAGCCGCTCAGACCCAACCAAGTAAACACAGAGACTTATATTGCTTACAAACTGTATGGCCGTGGCAGGCTTCTTGCTAACTGT